GCCGTCGAGTCGGTTCCGACCCATAGCGACCCTGTACAGGGTTTCCGAGGGTGTAAATCCTTACGGGAGTAGAAAGCCTCATCTTTCTCCCGCGAGTGAATATATAATACAGACTATTATAATGACTCCTTCATTTTTGTCCTTGTAGAAGCGGCCGATAGTGTGTTGTTAGTTATGGATCACTGTGTTCACTGTTTTCAATTCTTTTCTTTCTAGGTAACCGTACACAATCCAGAGAATCAAAGCTATTTGATAGCATATAAAGATTCACAACTCATTGTATCATCAGCTAAGTAAGTTTTTCTGAAGTAGTAATGTGTATTAAAGAGTTTGCAGTGACCATAAAGGAAATAGATTGTATTACTTTCTTTTATATAATGGTTCCGTCTGTCATACTCTGTGAATCAGAGGCAGTACAGTATAGCACACTGGTTAGGAGTACAGATTCTACAGCTAGAATGTCTGAGGTCTCAGTTCAAAATGGTAGATAGATATATAACCTTGAGCAGGTCACGAGAAGTTCTTCAGGTGTAAAAGGGAAATCATAATTGTATCTATTCCCTTTGGTTAGTTGTGATGATTAAATGAGTTGATAAATCTTTTAATATATTTTTTTTAATTTACCTTATATAAATGCACCCTACCCGAGACCAAGACGGGTGTCTTAGTATACAAATGCATTAATGCAGCTGTAAGTAAAAAAGTAAGTATACAGCAAGGGTTTCAGTTCATATGTGTAAGGATTTATTACAAACAAAACCTGTTTCAATATGTCTCTACAATCAGTGACTTCCAACAAGGTTTCTCAGTAATACACTTGTCAAGTTCTTGTTAAGTTCCTTGAGTTGGTTCTAACTCATAGTCACCCTGTATATGGTTTCCAAGGAGCGCTTGGTGGGTTTGAACCACCAACCTCATGGTTAGTAGTCAAGTGCTTATCCTACAGTAGTCAGGGTTTTGTTGTTGTTATATGCCATCGAGTTGGTACCAACCCATAGCAACCCTGTATAGGGTTTCCGAGGAGCAACTGGTGAGTTTGAACCACCGACCTTGTGGTTCAAGCCGACTTTGCAGTCCGTCCAATCAAACCAGTGCTTTCTGGTGCTGTGCTGTGTTGTGCTACGTATATCCCAGGCAGAGAGGTCAGCACAGAATGTCAGGCAGCTGTATTTTTTATGGTACTAAAGGGGTAATGTTGCTCGGGTTTTCAGATGATACAAGATGATCACTAGTGTATATTGTGAAGTTTGAAGGAAGTTGCAACTGCCTTGGAAATGAAAAGGCGGGGAAAGTTGTGCCAAGGAGTTTTGTGTCATCGTCAAATTGCCACTGACCTAGTCGTTCTTCAGTGGTAGCAAGGGCTGTCATAGCAAGAATTTCTCTGGGACTCCTTTACCCCATCCACCTTGCAGTCCAGATCTTGCCCCTTCAGACCTCTTTTTCATACCCAGACTCAAAGAGCATTTTAAAAGGAACAGTTTGAGGTCCTCAAGCTTGTCTGTCAAAACTGCCATTTTGATGTAGTGTCAATTAAAGGATGCATAATTCTTTGGGGGAAACTTCAGAGACAGTACCCCTTTCAAGAGTGGGTACACATAGATGGAAGATTTGGTGAGCAAATCACATTTTGATTTTTGATTTGTTAAGTACCACTGAGTTGGTTTCCGAGGAGCAGCTGGTGGTCTTGAGCTGCTGACCTTGAGGTTTGCAGTACCCAGTGCTGATCCTAAAGTGCCACAGGACTCCCTAGAATACACCTCAGCAATAAAAAGAAGGGAATTTATGCTGAATGATAAAAGTGAATTTGCATAGTTTCCATACTATAATATTCTATGTATATAACATTCTTGAAGTGGTAAAATGACAGAGCTAGAGAATCGATTAGTTGTTTCCAGACTTTGGGGAGTGGGGGAAGGGATTTGGCCAAAGCTCTAGGAGGGATCTCTCTAATCGAGCTGTACTGTATCTTGTGCTAACCAGTGGTTAACGTATAGTAAAAACTAAGTGACAGTGGTGGTTATGTGCTGTCGAATTGGGTCCAATTCATAGTAGCCTATAGAGTTGCTGAGTTTGTAAATCTTTACAAGAGCATAAACTTCACTTTTCGCCTAAAAAGTGGCTGGTAGATTCAGAATACTAACCTTACAGTTAGCAGCCCAACTCTTAACCCACTACACTACCCCAGGCTCCTTAAAAATGAAATATTAGTCCATAATTAAATTATTCTTCCAGCTCTCTTCTGCCCATTATTTGTAACCAGTTTCCAAAGATCTGTGGGTGATTTTCACTGGTTCCCACTCTCCACTGCTCAACTTTAATTGCAGGCCAGTGCTGTCACCTGATTGCATGTAACACTTTCAAGTATGTCTCCAAATTCTGGGTCAGTGTGATATAACAGCCTCTTAATATCTTCTTAATATCTCTGTCCTCATTTTTTGACCTTTATCCTATTCCCCAAACTTCTGTTATGGAAAATTAATCTCACATTATTGTCTTTATATATGCAAGGAGGCGTCAAATTTTATGGGAAAATTCTGTTGTAATATAAATTTTGTTGAGATTTTCCGCAAACTTTTTGAAGCCTCTTCATATGTTAGTCTATTTTCAAAGACCTTCTGCAATCTGACTCTCTCTTTTTTTTATAAAACATTCTTTTAGAGAACTTCAGGCATAAGATAGCAGCAGATAAAATAGTATGCTAAACCTGCATAGACACATCACTTAGCTTGGACAGTTATGGAGCACAGCAGTCATTTTTTTTTTATTTACAAGCCCATCCATTTCTCCCTTCTTATTTTGAAGCAAATTTCAGATATCATGTATCATTTCATCCATAATTACTTTAGTACTTAATCTCTATAAACGAATAGGACTATTTTAAAACACAACCACAATACCATTTTTGTACCTTATAAATTAATACTTGTTTGTTGTTGTTAAGTGCCATTGAGTTGGTTCCGACTCCTAGTGACCTTTATAGGGTTTCCAAGGAGCAGCTGGTGAGTTTGAACCACCCACCTTGTTGTTCAAACCCACCTTGTGGTCCAGTGCTTTATCTCACAGCGCCACACCAGGACTCCAGCACTGGATAGTATTGTCAGTGTTCAAACTTGTAGGAGTCTCATCCATTTCCTGTAGATTTTTTAAGTCTGCAAATGTCACTGTCTCTTATCTTGCTCTTGAATTTGTAAATTTTGTAGCATGATTGTTGTTGTTATCGGTTCCGACTCATAGTGACCCCGTTAAATCTGTTTTTGTCATTTTAAGATGTCTCTTTTGTATGTTTCATAACTCTTGACAAATGCCTTATAAAAGGAGATATTTAATAGGACAAATTTCAGGTGTTTGTTGTGATTAGGAAATTCAGGTGAAATGTCTTGAAAATAGATGTGTTTATGAAAGAGTGATCACCAGGTTTGTTTTTTGGTTTTAACTTTCTAATAAACCCAGATAAAGCACATTGAGAAAGGAAATAATACATTCCTACTGCCCTCTCTCCCTTTTTATACCACAATTCCATTCAGTACTACATGAGGCAGTTCAAGTGATAACAGTTAAAGAGAGTCTTCAGAAACACTCTCTGTTTAAATTGTTGTTAGATTGCAGCAACATGAGAATCCTTGGATACGGCTGATACCCTAGTATGTATGACTGCCAGTAGATAGTTCATTTTTAACCTTATATTAAGAAATGGATGATTGTCTCTAATGCACATGACATATTTATTACCTGTCTGCAACATTATTATGCGCTATGAATATAAATTACTAAGATCTTGCATTCTAAACGAAAACCATTTCAGTGAGATTCAGAAGTGTTCAGTGTTGGCTCTTAACCCTGGTAAGAGCTTTTGGTTGGGCTGTTGTATTTGAAAGACTAGTAATGTGAGTAACTCCTGAGGCTGCTAGACTTAGTGGTAAATGTAGGGGATAGTTAGACAAAAATCAGTCTTATGCATGAGTTTTGTAATATAAGTTTAGACTAGGAAAAAAATAAAATCTAGTAACATTTATGACATTTAAACCGTGAAAGCCCACCCAAATAAGTAGCAATTGTAAGTTTAATTCATTCTTTAGCGTAATACTGTATGTTTTATTTTCTCTAAAGAGCATTACAGCATTGTGAAGAATTGATTCAGCAGTATAACCGTGCTGAAAACAGTATATGCCTACCTGACAGTAAGCCTCTGCCCCATCAGAATGTAACTAGCCACGTGGGCAGAGCAGTGGAAGACTGCATGCGGGCCATCATTGGAGTGTTGCTCAATTTAACCAATGATAATGGTGAGTAATGTGCTCTGGCTTCTTTTCTCAGTGACTGATTGCTTACCGTTTGTTCATTTGTGATGTAGTGAGTTTTTTAATTGCCATAATGTAATTCACTTATTTATACAGATTTGACTGCTTTTTAACTGCCAGTTTTTAGAACTAGTCTAGTAGCTTGGCTTGGAAAATAATGCATTATAGGTGGTGGTGGTGATGTGCTGTGGAGTAGGTTTCAACCCATAGCGACCCAGTATAGGGCTTATGAGACTAAATCTTTGCGGGAGCAGAAAGCCTCATCTTTCTCCTATGGACGCGTTGATGGTTGTGAACTGCTGACCTTGAGCTTAGCACTCTGACTCGTAACCACAACTCTAACAGAGCTCCTTAACATATTGTTGAGGCAACAGTATATTTCAGTAAAGTAATAACTATTTTATAGGTTTTCATTAAATTTACAGCTATTTATATGTTTGTTTCTTGTCATAAGGACAATTCATTACAAGTGTTTTTTGTACTTTGCAATCTTTCAGAATGGGGCAGCACCAAAACAGGGGAACAGGATGGCTTGATTGGTACAGCGATGAACTGTGTACTTCAGGTTCCAAAGTACCTACCTCAGGAGCAGAGATTCGATATTCGAGTGCTGGTGAGTCTGAACTGCCGCTTTCAAAAATAAGGATTGATCTAGTGAGAGAAGCATTATTACATTAGTTTAGGGTTTAAAAACTAGTGAGTTAATATATTGTCTGATGTTTCCATGAATTACTATGAAGAACATACCTTTTATTATATAATAAAAGTAATAAAGGGCAGTTATGTACAAATTGAAAATATGAGAACAAAACGTATTTAATACTGCTGACGAAACTGTTCTTTCAGAAAATCCTTATTTTATATACTTCTCTTAACCACTTTGCAGATGGTAAAATTATGTTTAGGTTACTGGCTGCCAATAAAAAAAAATTCTGTATTTCATTCATTTGTTTTTAGTTCTTAATCGTGAAGTCTGTATCTTCCTTTTTTAGGGCTTAGGTCTTTTGATCAATCTAGTGGAGTATAGTGCTCGGAATCGGCACTGTCTTGTCAACATGGAAACATCGTGTTCCTTTGATTCTTCGTTCTATAGTGAAGACGGAGATGATAGTTTAAGGATAGCTGGACAAGTTCATGCTGTTCAGGCTTTAGTGCAGGTAAGAAACAATGTAGAAAGAAATTGGCACCTACAGTTTGTTGCATTGTTTCAGTTGCTTTATTAATCATACTTTTCCTCTTCTCTTTCTCTTTTGTTAAGAAACTCTGAAACATGTTTTTGTTGTGGAAAAGGAGGTCTCTTAGATCCTATTAATTTGTAAAGATGTACAGTGTCTGGGCTTACATTTTATTTAGTTTTAACCCGAAATTCTTAAGCAGTTAAAACTGTGGTCCAGTTCTCTGTCGACCAGTGGGAGAAACACAGACTTAACATGTACCCTGACTTTACTCTGCTATTCCTGTAGCATATGACTTGCTACAGGGTGATTGTTGAAAATAGTTCAAAAGGAATTTATTACATATTTTACCATAATAAAGTTTGGTGTTTTTTTTTTTTAACATAACCAGTCACTTTACATGGGGAAAAGGTAGATTTTTTTTTTTCATGTTTTATTGTGAATTATTTGATAGTTTACATGAGAGAACTTTAGTTTTACATTCATTCCACCGTATATCATTTCATTGCCATGGTTCCAGTCCCCTTCATGCATCATCATCCAACCTAGACTGGAGAATTAATAACTCCCTTCCTTGCCACAAAACATCTACCTTTACATTTCCAACCCTCACAATCAGTCTGATAACAATCATTCACTATTGTATCGCAAGTGACCCTTCTACATTTCATTTCATCAGCTCTGCCTAGACAGATTGGATAGTACTCACTGGAGATTCTGCCTTCCTCCATGCCCCCTAGCTCTAAGTTCCCTCTTGAAAGCTTGTAAGCCAGTCACTTCTTTCTTTTGTAGTTCCCCCCCCCACCCCCCAATTTGGGTATCCAGTGTGTCCAAGTTGCCCATTTCTAAAAAGGTAGATTATTACTGATAACAAATTCGGTATCCAGATTCTGCCACATGTTGACTTTCAAATCCTTTAGGATTTATTAACTGATATGCTATGCTCTGTGTCCAGGACTGTACACCACAGACAAACTGGAAGGCTTTTGCTTTCTATTATTCAGTTAGTTTGGATAGTATGGGAAATTCTGGGATAAGACAAGTTAATATTTTCCTTTATTCACCCTTACTTTTCTCCATTATCAATACTTGAGAGTTAACTGTGGATAGGAAGTAATCTCTAGGTTCCCCCCTCACCCCCAATTCAAAATATTCATTCTTGAATAGCCTTGAAATTTTAGTCCTCAGTTATTTAACATAAGAAATGATAGGTAAAACCGGTAAGAAATTATTTTATTAATTAACAGTAACTGTAAACTAATAGTAATGGCTAATAATAGTTAACTATTTTTCATCTTGCCATGTCATTTTAGGAACTCATTTCTTTCATTTTTTGATCGCATTGACTGACAAATTTACTTTTCTGCGGAGAGGCATTCCTTTCTATGTATTTGTTATTGTTTGTGGACTTTTCATTTTGAAAAGATTATAGACTCACAGGATGTTTCAAAAATAGTATAAAGAATTTTATATACCGTTCATTCTGTTCCCGCTAAATGGTAATGTATACCTTATATAACTGTAGTAGAAACTCAGGTCGTGACGTGGTTAAGCACTTGGCACTAATTGAAAGAAAGGTTGGCAGTTTGAGCCCCGAAGGGGAAAAGATCTGGCCATCTGTTTCCATAAAGATTACAACCTATGGGACAGAATAACTCATAGGGAAACTTTATGTGACAGCACCCAACAATCCAAACATAGCTGTAACACAGGATCAAACCCAGGAAATGGTCATTGTACTGCTACGTATAGTACAGATTGACCGCATTTCTCTTTTTGACGTCATTCCTTTATGATCTCTTGTGTAATTTTATCATGTATATAGATTCATGCACCCACTACCACAATGAACACATTGAGTTCTATCAGCACAAAAGAAATGTACCTAGTCCCCACTCGATCTGCCTCTCTTATGTGCTGCAAACTACTGATCTGCTCTTCATTTCTGTCATTTTGTCAATTCAGGAACATTTTATGAATGCAATTGTATAATCTTCTGAGATTGACTTTGTTCCCTTCCATCATATGTCTTTGAGGTCTCTACATGTTGGTAAACTTAGCAGTAATTCATTCCTTTTGATCGTTCAGTAATGCTCCACTGTCTGGATCTACTGCAGCTTCTTCTCCAACCGTCTCTGTGTTGAAATGGAACTTAGAAGAAGTAGATGATTGTTCCGTTTCATTGCCAGTGTCAATTGTGTGCTGTCAGTATTTCCTGTAGGACACGGTGGGATTGTCTCCGAGGGTCTCCTAGGCTGTCATCTTTACCGGTCTTTTCTTTTGTAGCTACTGCAGTGTTGAAACCTCTGAGCTGAACTGTTGGTTAGTAGCTCAGCGCTTCACCATGACTTTACCAGGGCTGCCTGCCTATGTACATACCCACTGCCATCCAGTGAACTTTGACTCAGAACAACCCAGTTAGGTTTCCGAGGCTTTACGTCTTTTTGGGAGCAGAAAGCCACTTCTATCCCCTGAGGCTGATGGATTTGAGTGACTGAATTACTGCGTCACCGGCTACACCACCAGAGCACCTTCCACTTCACATTGTTGGGGTTAATTTGAAGCAGCCACCCCTTCCTCCCAGTAGATCCAAGAGGTTATGTCTCAAGTTTTCCTATTGTGTCTGATGACCTGGGATGAGACTATATTTTTATTGAAACACCACACACATTAATATATTTTTACAAACCATGCAACCTAATGCATATTTCCTTTGCACGCTGTATACAATATTTGTGTGAGGAGGTTTTGTGGAAAATCTATGGCACTTGGTATAACTCCAGAGGTTGCTTGTCCTTACAACATGCCTGATTTTCTTTTTAACCTGCTATGATTTCTGGGGTCGCTGTGACTCAATGGCAGTGGATTTGCAAGGGGGGAGAGAAGAGTATATCCATCCTGAGAAATGTTGTTGAGTGCTGTCGAGTGAATTGTGATTTCATAGTGACCTTAGTGTGACCAAGCAGAACTGTGGCCCTATAGGGTTTTCCTGACTGTCATCTATGAAAGGAGATTGCAGGTCTTTCTCCTGTAGAGCTGCTGCTTGGGTTCGAACCATCAAGTCTTTGTGTCAGCAGCCAAGCAGTAAACTGTTGGAACACTGACGTATATGTGCTACATTTTAAATATAGATAGCATATTAGCATGCGTATTCTTGGCAGTGTGTATTTTTCTTTGTCATAGGAAGATTTTTATATCAACACACAGTTTTACCTCATTCTCCATAATGACTGTGTAACATTGAATCATTTATTTAACAAATTTTCTCTGATAGACTTGCAGAAAAATTTTTTTTGGTGAAAATTATATGCAGTCAAATATATTCAACAATTTTTATATGTACAGTTGATTGACGGTTACAAACTACACATTTTATCACCATTTTCCCTATCTCTGCCCATACTGTTTTGCCCATGTTGAGGTATGCAATAGTCATTGAGAACGTGTTTCATTAGGGGAGCTAAGATATTTCAAGATGACTTCATGCACTAGTTTACTTTTAAGGCTTAAATGTTAATTTCTAGACAGTAGATTCAGGGGTTCCTTAAGTCTTTAAGGCTTAAATGTTAATTTCTAGACAGTAGATTCAGGGGTTCCTTAAGTCTCATTGTGTCAAGTAAGTCCAGTTTCCAGTACGGATTTGAGAGTCTATTCCACATTTTGTTGAAGGCCCAACTTTTGGGCCCTTGAGCAAAACATTTAGTGATGATATCTGGGAACCAGCCATTTCTTCATTACTCATGGGGGGGCTATGGAGGTGTGGAGGCAATTAAATCTGCACCCCATTTCCTTCTTTAATTCCTGGGTCTCCTCCTTCCTTTACTGTGCCAGGCACATAATGACCAATTTATATTTAGGAAGGCCTCTCACAAGCTTTTTTAAGCTGTTATGTGCTACTCACCAAGCAAAGAGGTAGAACACAAACTCTAAAATCAATTTACTGGCTAGACTCTTGAAGTCATGACCTTAAACTTTGTTTGTTTTTATTTATTTATTTTTTGTTTGTTTGTTTTTTTAACTTTTGAACCAGCAGAATGAAGCTAGGAAGGGTTTAGTCATACTGAAGTAGAGTCAGCAGGTGCAGCCTTCATAAGAGATCTTTTTTTCAGTTGTTTTCTTTTGCCTCAGAAATTAACAGATCAGCGCTCTGGTACCTGACTTGGCTCAGTGTGTATGTGTGTATGCCTGTAAGTAATTTCCTGATGTAGGAATTGTGGCAAAGTATGTATGTTTAAAATTGATGTTTCCAGTCCCCCTCCATCATGAAGCACACACTTTGCCTTTTCCCTCAGTTTATACCTCCTGATAAAACTCTATGAGAGTTGTCCTTTTTTGTGTTCTTGCTAACATTGGCCATTACAATTTTTACTTTTTAGCAGTCTTAAGTTTCTAGTTACCTTCAGTGTTTCCCTAATGACACTCTGCACACGTATCTCTGAAGAGCCCTTAAACTTGTTCTTGGCTCAGAGTAACTGAACCAACAGAACAAATTGTGAAGTAAAAGAATCAAAGAGAAGATTGGAAAAGGTAACTTACAAAGAAGGTGTAGATTAGGGAGTCTGGTGTACCACTGTAGGGGTAAGCACTGACTCACAGGATTGTAACTCACCAGTTGCTCCTCAGAGACCTTATATAGGGTCATTATCAGTTGTAACCTCTACTAGACAGCACTTAACAACAACAACATAGTATTATTGTTGTTGTTAAGTACCGTGGAGTCGGTTCCGACTCATAGCAACCCTGTACAAGGTTTCCAAGGCTGTACATCTTTACGGGAGCGGAACGCCTCATCTTTTCTCCCATGGAACTGCCGCTGGTGGTTTCAAACTGGCAACCTTTAGGTTAGTAGCCCAATTCGTAACCGCTACGCTACCAGAGCTCCTATATGTAGTATTATGCCTTGTTAAAAGCCTAAAAGGGATCTGCCTTTCTCAAGCTGAAAAAACTAAAGTGAAAATTTAAGCCTCTATCACAGAATTGTTTGTTTGTTTTGATTCTGTGAGCAAAAACCAGAATGCAGGAAGCATCAAAAATGGAAGGAATATACAGATACACTGTACCCAAAAGGATTGTCAAATTTCACCCATTTCAGGAGATGGCAAATGACCTAGAGCAGATGATACTAAAGGAAGATGTCCAGTTAGCCTGGAGGCATTGGCAAAAAAAAAAATAATTCTTTCTGCAGTAATTGACGAATGTAGATGTTTTAGCAAACAGATGCAATACGTAAGTGTTTACTCATTTATGTCAAATTTTAATGACAAGCAACCTGGCCAACCGAATGGAAAAGATTCATATTTGTGCTCATGCAAAACAATCAAACAATGCAGAAATCATCAAACCTGTGTCATTAATGTCACATGCTCACAAATTTTTTGCTGAAGCCTATTCAAAAACTGTTGCAGTTGTACATTGACAGGGAGGTGTCAAAAGCTCAAGCGAAATTCAGAAGAGGTTGTAGAATGAGTTGATGCCGTGGATCTCGACCAAATGCAAAGAATGCCAGAAAGTTGTTTATTTGTAATTTATCCATTCTACGGTATGAATTGCATCTCAATGTAAAGAAAACAAAAATCCTCACCACTGGACCAATAAGCAACATTATCAACAGAGAAAAGATTGGAATTTTCAAGGACTTCATTCTTCTTGGATCAACTATCAACACTCACGGAAGCAGCAGTCAAGAAATCAGACAACGTATTGCATTAGGCAAATCTGCTGCACAAGACCTTTTTAAAGTGTTGAAGAGTAAAGATGTCAACTTGAGGACTAAGGTGCACCTGACCCAAGCCATGGTATTTTTAATAACCTCATATACATGCGAAAGCCGAACAGTGAATAAGGAAGACCGTAGAAGAATTGATGCTTTTGAGTTATGGTGTTGGAGGAGAATATGGAAAGTGCCATGGGCTGCCAAAAGAAGTAATAGATACGTGTTGGAAGACGTGCAGCCAGAGTGCTCCTTAGAGGCCAAGATGGCCAAACTTCGTCTCTCATACTTCAGACATATTGTCAGGAGGGCCCAGTCACTGGAGAAGGATATCATGTTTGGTAAGGTGGAGGGTCAGAGAAAAAGAGGAAGACCCCCAATGAGATGGATTGGCCAGGTGGCAGCATTGATGGACTCAAGCGTGGCAACGGTATTGAGGTTGGCCAGGACCAGGCAGTGTTTCATTCTGTTGTACATAGGGTTGCTATGGACTTGATGGCACTTAACAACAAATTGAGCTCCTGCAGTCTTGGTGTGGTAAGCACTGGACTGCTGACCGAAAGGTCAATGGTTCAAACCCATCAGCCCCTCTTCTGCAACCCTTTACCTGGTTGCTGTGACTTGGAACCCAACACTAAACAACAACAACAAGGTGATGCAGATGGTTTGTGCTCCACTGCGTCCTGAGGGTCCATCCAGTGACTTTGCAGAAATAAGGTCTGGTGAGTCACTCTTATTAAAAAGTTCACAACCAGGGAAATCCTGTGTAGCACTTTCACTGTGTAACAACACATGGAGTTGACTCGTTAGCAATTGGTTTTTTTTGTTTTGTTTTTTTTGGGGGGGGGGGCGGCTTTACTATTATGAATGTAAATTTAACCTCACTCTTCAAAGGGTTTTTGACTTATAGGGATGTTTGGACCAATTTTAAGAACTGCTGCTTTGTATAATAAAACTTAAATTTTATTTCTTGAGGGGCAATCTTAGACATGGCTTTCGTTGAAATTTAAATTACACTCCTTTTTGAGATCTACATTGGCAGTATGATTTTCAAGTAAAAATTTTCTTTAGTAATTTGGTGCGTTTTACCAAATTGCATCAGTGAGTATGTTAAATGCCTTCCCTGTGTGTTCATTTTGTTTGGATGCACAAGCAGTACTCAGCAGTGACCTTACAGAGTTGAAGAACAAAGATAGCCCTTTGAGAACTGAGTTTGCCTGACTCAGTCACCTCATGCACATGAAAGCTGGACAGTTGGGAAGAACAGAGACACTTGATGCATTTGAATTAAGGTGTTGATTAAGAATACTGAAAGTACAGTGGATTTCCAGAGAATAATCAAATCTGTTTTGGAATAATTACAATCAGAATGCTTTTTAGAAGAGAGTATAGGAGACTTCATCTCTCACTCTGGACTTGTTATCAGGAGGGATCCAGTCCCTTGGTAAAATCACAGGTCAAAAGAAAGCCCCTCAAGATGGTTTGACAGAGTGGGTGCAACAGTGACCTCAACCACAGGACAGACTGCGAGGATGGCACAGAAGTGTTGTGCGTAGGGTTGCTGAGTCTTCACGGATTGAAGGGCACCTAACATGTGTTCAGCACTTTTACCAGCATAGGGAATATAAAGTAGGTATAAGGAATTTAACATGTCACAGATTTTCAGTGTTAGTAATTTAAGATTTGATTTTGTATTTTTCTTAGATAGCTTTCCTTTTTACTGACATTTCTCTACGTTTCTTTTGACAAAATTATGCTACTTTTTTTCTAATATTACATCATTTTATTTAGTGTCTTTTCTTTCATCCTGCTCAGGGTATTTTGTTTTGTTTTACATCAAGCTTATATTTTGGCTTCAGTTTCCTGTCAGTCTTATTCAAATTAAGAGAAATTGAGACTTTCAATCTTGTTAATAGAATACTTACATTGTTAGTGTTGTTGTTAAGTTCCATCGAGTCGGTTCTGACCCATAGCGATCCTATATAGGGTTTCCGAGGAGCAGCTGGTGAGCTTGAACCACCGACCTTGCAGTTCAAATGGCTCTGCAGTCTGGTGCATTGACCCACAGCGCCACACCAGGACTCCTACATTGTTAGTAAATACACTTAATTTGACTGTAGTCCAGCTAAGTTCTTCTGGTCATCAATAGAGTGCAGATCAAGGATACCTTTTATGTGATACCCTTTATCAGACATTGTGCACTTGCAGTAAAATCCTTATATTTGATTACAGTTTTATTTTGGTTAGTTCTTTTGATGATCTTCAATAATCTTCTCTTAATAAAAATTTAAAAATAATTTTTATTAGCTATTCCTTGAGCGAGAGCGGGCAGCACAGCTGGCAGAAAGTAAAACAGATGAGTTGATCAAAGATGCTCCCACCACTCAGCATGATAAGAGTGGAGAATGGCAAGAAACAAGTGGAGAAATCCAGTGGGTGTCAACGGAAAAGACTGATGGTACAGAGGAGAAACAAAAGAAGGAAGAGGATGATGAAGAACTTGACCTCAATAAAGGTATAGTTATTTTGAGTGGTCTATACAAATTGAGACAAATGCCTGGATTCCCCAGCCCCACACACCTATTTTAATTTATGCATTATAATCATTTTGCTGTTATAATCATTTTGCTGTGGTTTGATTGCCTTCACATTTCATCTCACCTAACTCCTACCTCAGGAAGCAGGTAGATCAGAGTGCTTGACAGGCTCCTGTTGGAATGGGATTGCACAGCCAGGTCCTGTGTTTATCTTCCTCCCTTAATAGTTTGTAAAGAGAAGTAGTTGACCAATAAGACCCTTACAGGCGTCTCAGTTTTGGATTTGAGATTATTTTATCAGTCTCTCTTTAAAGCAACATCTATTGACATAAATTGTGTTTATAGTTTCCAAGTGATAAAAGTAGTAGAATTCTTGTTGTGACACTGTCGGATCAACACTGGACCACAGTGTCAGCAGTTCAAACCCACCAGCTACTCATAAACCTTATACAGAGTCGATGTGAGTTGGAACCAACTCAGTGGCACTCAGCGGCGACAGTAACATGACTGAGCATTTACTATATCAAAAACGAGTATCTTTAACACAGTTCTGCAGACTAGACATTTATTAACTCATTTCACTGAAGGTTAAGAGTGAAGTAATTTAACTTTACACAGCTAGGAAGCTGTGTTTTACATATTATAGTTTCATGTGTTCTTTTATGCACGCTGTTTCCTAGCTCTGATGTCCTTACTTCTGATATTGTAAGCACCTTCTCTTCTATTTTCTCAGTTTTTTAATTTTCATGCTTGTTATGCTATTGATTACTTACCGGTCTTTTTTTTTTTTTAAATAATACTTTTATTGATGTATAATTCACATATCATAAAGCTCAGCGTTTAAAGTAGTATGCAGTTCAGTACTTTGTAGACTTTGTACAGGCTTGCACAGCCATCACTGGTAGCTAGTCCCATCACTATCTAACATCGTCTCACAACGGAATCTCATACTCAGCTAGCAGTCTCTCATTCCCCATTATCCCCTCCCTCAACCCTGGCAACCATTCCTTTCCTTTCTGTCTCTGTGGATTTGCCTATTCTGAACATACCATATAAATGAAATAATGCAGCATACGGTACTTTGGGACTGGCTTCTTTTATCTAGCACAATGTTTTCTTGGTTCATCCTAGTTGTAGATAGATTAGTTTCTCATTCCTTTGTATGACTACCTAATAATCTATAGTATGTGTATACCACATTTTGTTTATTTGGTTAATAGACATTTGGGTGCTTTTCACTTGTTGACTATTATGAATATTGCTGCTGTGAACATTCATACATACGTAAGTGTTTGTGTGGACTTAATGTTTTCATTTCTCTTGAATATAGTTAAGGAGCGCTGGTAGCACTGTGGGTTAGGTGTTTGACTGCTAACCACAAGGTACTCTGTGGGAGACAGTTGAAGCTGTCTGCTCCTGTAAAGATTTGCGGTCGTTTACATGGTTGCTGAGTCCAAATCGACTCCACAGCGATGGCTTTGTGTGTATAGTTAGGACTGAAATTGATAGGTTATATGGTAAGTCGGTTGAACATTTTGAGGAACTGACAAACTGCTGTCCATTGTGGCTACACTATTTTACAATGCCACCAGCAATACGTGAGGATTTCCAACTTCTCAGTACATGTTATATTTGTCTTTTTAAGAGTTTTTGTGGGGTTTTTTGTTTTGTTTGCCATCCTAGTGGTGTCTCATTGTGATTCTGTGGCTACTGATGTTGAGCGTTTTATCATGTTCTTATTGGTCATTTGTATATCTTTGAAGACATGGCTCATCAAATCCTTTGCCCATTTTAAATTTCAAAGTAGAGTTACATGTCTTTTCCTTGTTAGGTTGTAAAGCTGTTGTATATTCATGATACTAGTCTTTTATCAGTTAGATGTTTTGTAGACACAGTCTACAATTCTGTGGGTATGGTAGTGTCCTTTGAAACTACCATAAAGTTTTTTGTTTTACTGAAATTCAATTCATCTATGAGTATTTTTTTCTGTTGTCATTTGTACTTTTATAGTTGTATCTAAGAAACCATTACTTAACCCAAGGACATGAAGATTTATTCCTGTGTTCTTCTTAGCACTTAAATGTAGGCCATTGGCCCATTTTGAGTTAATTTTTATTTGTATTAAGTAGATGATTGCATCTGGATATTTAATTTCACTCTTTGGTGATGTTTAGTAATTTGAAAAACAGATCCCTGATTTTATGGGCCTGACTTTTCTTTTGGGAGGTATACTGTTACATTTTCATTGAAATGTTTTCAGCCCTTCAGCATGCTGGCAAACACATGGAAGACTGCATTGTGGCCTCATATACAGCCCTGCTTCTTGGTTGTCTCTGCCAGGAGAGTCCCGTAAGTAAATCATTTCGTGAAGAGTCCAATAGAATAGTTTTGTGTTGGTAAATGCCGTGTAGTTGGTTCTAACACATAGTGTCCCTGTATAGGGTTTCCTAGGAGTGACATGTGGGTTTGAAGCACTAATCTTGTGCTTAGAGTTACCCAGGCAGAGGGATTTTAATAAATTGAGACAGAATCCCTCCCCTCAGCCCCCTCCTCCCACCATCACACAGCTTTATCCTAAAACTCCAGATACTTTAAAACATTGTTTACTATCATGAAACAGAGCTGCTTTCCCTTATCATGGATGACTTTATAGTTTGGCTGTTTCTTGATGACAGTTTCTTGATGTAACTAGAAGGGGGAAACACCTTTATTTCTAGTGGCATTGTAGAAGAAGGAACATAAATATTTTTTTAATAAATATGCCTACAAATGTTTATTTTTGTAGCCGTTTTTCCTGCATTTCTAAGGGTCGGTGTTAAAGAGAAAGAATCCACGTACACATTCTCTCTTACATAGGCACGCATTGTGCAGATTAACGAATGTGGAAAGGGAAACTATACGTATTAGCCAGTAAATTCAAGGCCCTTGTAGATTTGCAGCAGGATGTGTTTTCAGTTTATCACAGGTATGAGATACAAGCTCATGCATCTGTGGGGTGACCGATACTTCTCTCTGTTGACTTAGATCAATGTGACCACTGTGCGGGAGTATCTGCCAGAAGGAGACTTTTCAATAATGACAGAGATGCTCAAAAAATTCCTCAGCTTCATGAATCTTACCGTAAGTAACTTTAATTGCAACTTACACACTTTTGGACTGGTTAAGTAATGATGATACATAAATGGCAATGGAAATCAAAATACTATGGTTATAGTGATTGAAAGGAAAAAGGATTGTTTTGATTTTAATAATTCTTTTTATTCAAGGATATTGTTACTTATATAAAATACATACTGTCAGTATATTATCAAAGCCACAATTTCATTGCACTGTTGTTTGATTTGCATTGTTCGGTTTAGTAAACCTGAGAGAAAAGTGGACGTGTCAAGGATTAATTGCCGCTTTCCCCTTTCCAGTGTGCTGTTGGAACCACAGGTCAGAAGTCTATCTCTAGAGTGATTGAATACTTGGAACATTGCTAGCTGCTTTACTTTGCTTCAGGTCCTCGGTAATGCTGGAGCTCCCCTTAGACAAAGAAAAGTCATGAAAGAAGTTCTTCCTTGAAGAAATACCAAGAACTCATCAGTATCATTCGTGTTTGGATTTTTTAAGGCCACCTGATTTCTTCGTCATGCCTTCTGCGTTTGCTAAATGGCAGTTACTACATCAATCTGCAACTATCAAAAATGGGGGAAAGGTTCAGGCTGTTAACAATTTCATGCAGTATTTAAATACTTCCTTTGGCAGAGTTTATACCCTCCCCTTGTTTTCTTGGTTGACTCTGAGCCAAGTTTTCTAAGGGGATCATTTGTGCTGCTGCTGTTCCTACAACTGCTGTGTATGTTGAGCCACTGTTGTCATGGCAGCCAGGTGCAGAGGCAGCTTAGCTACTGAGGTATTGAATGTTCGCAGGACATTCTAGACAACAGCTTAGTTCCTTTTTCAGGCTCATTTGCTTTTGCTTTTTTGTTGAATGATTCCAATCGTAAATAAAGCTTTTAATAATTTTGTGAACATTTTTTTTGCTTGTTGTTCCCTGAACTATTGTCTATATTTAAAACTAGATGGAATCCAAAGACACAAGGGATTAATAGTATATTTTTTTATTCTTGATTAGGTTTGGGTTGTTGAACTATTTGTCACTTTTGAGACCGTGACCATATTCAATTTCATACCATGATGTGTCATAGCTATAGGTGCAAGCAAACAAGTTTGAAGGAATATAATTACTATCAGATGATGTGCCCTGTTAACGGATGAAGCAAACGCAACAAACCCAGGGTAGTTCACAGTCAATGCTAGGTAAAGCCCTTGAAACACTTATTAGCTTTCGAGGGAAACTCTCTAGATATATTTTCTAATGTTCAGTACAGTAACTGTAAGGAAGCTAAAACACCAATGTGGAATTCATGTTTCCAAATACCATGTATATTCTTCTAAAGCCTGACAGGTTCAGTTGCATAGTGCAAAGCCTTAAATTGCTGATTTAGAGCAGATCCTTTTCTTTTTTTTCTTTTTTTCTTTTTTTTCTCTCTCGGTTCCAATCAATTCTAATTTATAGAACAGTATGTTTGGAAAAGTTATGGAACATACAAAACACTTTATGTGTTTAATTTCACAACACTGCAGATTTTTCTTGTATTAACTATGTTCATAGCACTGGTTCTACAGAGTTTCTATTGTTTTGTCCTAAGTATAGACTTTCCAGACATCTATGTCATTAATACTTATAAATGCTTTTTAGGTGGTTATATCATGTTTTCTCATTGGGTTTATAAAACTTGAAGCCATAAAAATATTAGTTTGGTGTGTATTGGGGAAAATAGCTAAAAGTCTAATACCCATTTAGACTTTGTTATTTCCTTGTATAAAGTGACAAATCGGGGCTCTTGTATCAGTGCCAGCTGTAATGTTTTTTAATGCAGTGGCTGCCTTCTAGTGTCTTCCTATTTTTGATAATGCAGATTGTTGGGAAATCTATAAGGAAGTAACTGATTCTAGGCAAATTGTTTTCTTCTCCCTTGTATCCACCCCAGCCCCCACCCATCACCTTTTAAGAACATAGTGTGCCAGTGTAACTTGGGAAAATTCTTAGATTGTTTTTGCCCTGAGTATAAAGGTACCTTAGCAAACTATTTTAAAAGCATATCGGTAAGTGATATCCTTTAAGACTAAGTTATCTCAATATATTTTGTTTAATGGGGAAAGAAAAACCACATTGATATTTATTATTCATTGGACTTTAGAAAAGGCTTTTGGTACAATTGACTGGCAGATGGTAAGAAATATTATGAAACATTTGGTTGGGAACAATCAGGGCGAACTACTTTTTTTCTGTTACACTGGTAATCATTTGGAAATTGATTTACCTCAGTGTTTAACAGTTTTTATTTTGTTTTTGTAATAACTAATTGTCAAGCACTAATAGAGATGCAGGTTTTGGTGTGGGGGGTGGGGGAGAAATCGCCTCACAAACTGCAGTGCATTTGTGTTTTTAACCCTCAGAGAACTCTGCATTTTAGGGTACTTGAGGCTGACTTGCAGATTAACTAAAGTTTTAAAGTAACCTTTTTTCCACTGTAAATATTTCTGTAAATATTACCAATTGGAAATTAGAACAGTAGAGGACTTTTCTGAATCCAATCCTATTTTTATTTTATACAGTATTTCTCAGCTGTGATCTTTGGAGCAAAAGCCAACGGCAGGAAAAAAATAGTTTGTACCAGTTTCATGAAGTATGTCTTTGGGTTTTTGTAAATAATTTTAACTCAAATAAAATTGCTACTTTCAATACACATGTTGTCTTTAACATAAGTCTATTGACCTATTTGGAGGAATAACTCAAGCTTGATAGAGTGATTCTACTGGAAAACAAACTGTATTGCTTACGTGAATTTCACCTTTAACACCTAAAAGTGTAAGCATTATTAGTGAAATCTTTTCTTCTGTGCTTCATGTTTTTAATAATGCATGTCTGGATATAATGTAAAAACTCAGCAAATCAGACTCATTAGGAGCAACACTGGTCTAGTTGTACCTTGGTGTATTTACTAAAGCTACTGTACGTCTCTTTACCCCTGTGAATATGGCCCTAGACTAATTGCTCTTGAATTTTTACAGCTCCTTTTCATTTTATCTTGTAGTTGACAGCACGCTTTTACCATAAAGGTTCTTCAAACTCTCCTCACTGCTTCCTACCAAAAAACTCGAGTTAAAGGCTCTTGTTGAAATGCTGTCTATTCTCCTCACTTAAACACATAAATGAAAACAGTGCAGAAGAGTAGTGTATGGCTACAGACTATAAGACACTTAGATCTATGTCACATGCGTGAATCTTGGAGCTTTTTGTTAATTGTTCTTAATTTTTTGGGTAACTTTTTGTTGTGAATTGAATGAAGGTTTTACAGACAAGATCATCAACTTTATATTCAACAAATCAGAGCACTTGTCCTAGAATCGTCGGTTCCTGAAATGAAAGATTAACTATAAATACGCACTCCTTTTAGTTACACATTTTTACAGTTACAGTTTTGACAAACACAATCAATCCTGCTAGCAATTGCTCACAATTGAATCATAAAATCCTATGAGCATCACTCCCTATCCCCTTTCAGCAGAGCCATTGGGAAGAGAGGAAAACTGTTCAGTGGAAATTCTAGCATACCCCCCTCATTTTGAAACCAAGCACACCCATGAAAGCTTGTAATACAGAGAGTTCATACCTTGGTAGCCCCCACATTTTTCATGTCCAGTGTCTAAATTTCACATCCCTATCGACCCAGTGGCGCTGCAGATTAATGCGCCAGACTGCAAAGCCATTTGAACTTAAAGGTCAGCCATTCAAGCTTACCAGTCGCTCCTCGCAAACCTTATCCAGGGTCACTATGGGTCGGAACTGAACAACTCAGTACACTTAATGAGATTTCAATCAGAGAGCTGGTACCAGCAGTTTCCCGAAGTAATGCTTACCTGTTTTCCTCATGTGGGAAATGGAGGTTTAAATAGTATCTGCCACAGGGTTGTGAAGACTAAGTAATACAGTGTGTACGCATTTGCACACAATTTCAAACTAGCGAAGTTTTAGTAAATTAGAGCTTTTACTAAACAATTTTGTTTTCAGTTTGTACACCGCTATACCGCAGGTCATCTGGAATGATGCTGAGATCATCAGGGGTTTGGATTATTTGAAAAACATGTTTTTGTAAAAGTGATGTCTCCAGAATCTGTCTTGTCAATACCTTGGTGAAGGTGTTATTAAGTGCCATCAAGTCTGTTCTGACCCATAGTGACCCTGTATAGGGTTTCTGAGGAGCAGCTGGTGGGTTTGAACTGCCAGCCTTGCAGTTAACAGTCTGGTGCTTATCCTACAGCGCTGCACTAGGGCGATAGAGCAGACTTCAGTGGGTCTTTATATTAGAAAAAGGACTGACTCTGGCATTGGATGCATAGGTTAGTAACTTCACACATAAGTATCTTCAGACTGAAAAATGAACTTACCGAAACACCATTGAGCGTTTCCCTCCGACCTCTATTTTGTCTTGGTACAGTTAAAATAGTCCAAATGCTATGGCAAAGTCCTGGGGCGGCACTGAAGGCTAAACTGTGGTTTGAACCACGAGGTTGGTGGTTCAGACTCATTAGCAGCTCTTTTGAAACTCTATTCAAGGTCGTCTGACTGGTAACTGACTGAACTGACCTAACAACAACAACAACATGACTGATTGCACCAAAATCCCCAACCATATCGTTACATGTGTTAGTTACGTGCTGTGGAGTCAGAGGTAACTCAGGAATAGGGTTTCTGTGGAATGGTTGACTAGTGAGTTTCAGCTCCCGGCCTTGTCCTTAGCAGACTGTTAGCCCATAGCAGCGCACCAGGCCATCTTTATGCTACCTCGTTTTAAATGATAGAAAAGACCACATCTGCAACCCAGAATCGTATTACAGAGGCTGTAGATAATGCAGCTGTATGCTGGTAAGATTGGTAGATATTTTCAAACAATGAAACATTAAGTGCAAATGTACACATAGTTTGATGGGAAACGATCCCCTTGTATGTGCTAGTAATAAAGTTGGACTGGCTGGCATTAATACAGAGAATATATTTTAAGACAGGGAATTTTACCAGAGCTTAAGGTGTGTGTGACTCTTTGGAAGCCAAGATGGCAAGACTCTGTCTCTCATATATTGAGCCATATTGTCAAGAGGGACCGACCAGTCCCTGGAGAAGAACAACATGCTAGGTAAAGTGGAGGGTCAGCGATAAAGGAAGACCCCTCACCCCCCACGAGCTAGGTTGGCACAATGACAGCAGCAGTGGGCTCAAGCTTAACAATTGTGAGGATGGGTCCAGGACTCAGCAGTGTTTTGTTCTATTGTACATGGGTCACTATGAGTCAGAATGGACTCAAGGGCACCTAACCAACAGCAAAAGGTGTGACCGCAAGGTTGGCTGTTTGAATTCACCAACCATTCCTCAGAA